CAATCGCTCAATGCAAAACATTTAATCTATAATATATAAATGAAATTGACGGAACGCATCTACATGATAACGGACGCAACGCAACGAAAAGATGATATCCACGCAAGAAGAGTTATACATCCTCTCACATAAAGCTTTTGATACAGCAGGCGACATGCGCGGGTAGTTACCCAACATATTCTCTCCATAATTGATAGACACCTAATGACATCGCAAATAGGTTAAATGCACAACTGTTGTAATTTCGACGGGGAATGAAGCAATTACTGAGAGCAGAGGACTACGATAATACCTGACTCGGTTCAATTAAAACGGGAACCTGATAATTCCACGCGCGGCGCGCGATTGGCAAATCGCGAGCGAGCGTCTGCCGTTTTTGCGGCCGTTCGTTTACCTTTAGCATTCGCGCGTCATGTCGCGCAACGTCGCGAAATTAGTTAATCAGTATTTAAGTGGACGTTGCACGCACGATAAATATATAATGCGGCTGGCGCGCGGCCGCTGATAATTAATAATCCCCACAACGACGTGCGCAAATTCGGGCGAACGGCACGTGCGGCAGACGCAGATACATCTATAAATTTTCCAACTGGCTATCGCGAATTTACACATTTAGCGAATTAATCGACACGTGATAGCACTGCGTCGATTGCCGTGATCGACAAAAAGATCACTGGTTTAGTGGTTTAGTTGTACGTGATTAATATGCAGAGAAGTTCTCGAGCTTTTACGATTTTTCAAAGATCAGTTTTAAGACTGTATTATTTTTTAACAAAATAAAGAAATTATTAAAAAATTAGATTTTTCTATATTATATTTATGTGTGAAAGTAATACAAAAAACTTGGCGGTGATTTAGAACCTGGATAAAAATTATTTCAATAAAAAATAAACACACGTTAAAAAATAATTAAGTTAAAATAAGAAAATTTTCATTTCAACCATAAAATTATATTGTTAAATATGAATATTGATCTTGTTGAACTGTTTCATATAATGTTCATTTTTAAGTAGAAAGTAGAAGCATTTCCAATTCCAGTCACGTTTTGCAGAGACTATATATACCTGATATACCTGGTATGTCCTTAAATAAAAAAGTACGATGAGAGATATTCATAAATAAAATGAACTTATAATTTTTTAAATATTTAGATTTTAAATATTATTCTAGTAACTGTCACATTATTAAGATAAAATGTGAAAATTTTCATTTAAATTATAAAATTGTTAAACATAAATATTGATTTATTGGATTGTTTCATATAACATTCATTTTTATATAGAAAATATAAATTTCTAAGCCAATTTTTGCAGAGACTATACATCCGAGACATCTTTAAATCCGCTAGCAGATATTCTTTCTTCTGCATCTCTGCGTGGAGTCGCCAATTAAACATAGACAAGAAGACGCTCTCGTTATTATTGATACGTAGGATCGGGGCGTAGCTATAGAGACCCTCGGTGGAAACAGAACCGCGGAGTTAATGCAACGGCGATGCGAATCGATATAATGCGCTCACCGTCGTGTTGTCGTGCTGCATTTTGCTACGCGCAGCGGAGCGGCGAGGAGGGTCAATTAAAAGCTGTTACCATCGATTGCGCGGCCGGTTGGCTGTCTGATACACCGATAATACGACGTTCTCGGGATCGCACGTCGCGATGAATTAATTTCGTGTACGCTCGTGCGAAAAAACACGTTTTGTTAACGGCGAACAACGGTCGTTTTGTTTTCGTTTCTTTTCTTCTCTCTTTCTTTCTCGCAGAAGATAGCCTCGGTAGAACGGAAAATTTTTACGTGACGCGCGTATTCCGGCGAAGAAGACGCGTAGTCGATAACACGCAACGTCGCGTTGCGCCGCTATATCTCAACGCGCCTTTATCTTTTTCACGTGGCGTAGCGTATAGTATAGGTATGTGATGCAACTTAATCGCGTCCGCGTCTTATCCATCACGACGCATTACAATACGTGGAACGGTAAGGCATCAATTTCTCTCAACTTGTCATTTGACGAATGCGTGCGATTCAGTGCACAAGCACGTGATTTACTCGGACTTTGACGTAAAGGTAGACACTTTCACGTTATAATCGCGAAATAGAAAAAAAAATTCTCATTGAACAGTGAAATTTCTTTCTATCACAAAAATAACACAGTTCAACATTATTTTATAATATGAGTGTAAATAGTTATTTCCGATGTATTTTTGCCTTCTGCTGAACACGAATCTGTCGTCCAAATTTGGCTATTAAGACAGAATTGAAATTGACAAGATATAATATGACACAAAGATTATAATCTTAAATCTTGAAGATAATCCTCTTGCATTGTATTTTGTCAATTTTATATTGCTTTTTTATTTAGTATATGATTCGATTATATATATATATTATGAAGGTATAAAAGTATTTATTTTCCACATTATGTAGCATTAAGATGGAATAAAAAGCCTTTTTTATATATATGTACGGAAAGAACAATTTTATTGAACTATCTAAAAATTTAGCTAGATACAGATCTGAAAAATAATTTTGAGAAAGTAATTTTGTTGGATCATCAAGATAATTATGTAGGAATTTCAAACATAATGAACAATGCTGCAAAAAGTTTTGGCATTCTAACCATTGCAGTTTGAAAGTTCTACATAATTATTTTGATGATCCAATAAAATTATTTTCAGATCTGTATTTAGCTAAATTTTTATGTACTTCAGCAAAACTGTCTTTTCTGTGTATATTATATTAGAAAAGAGCTATTTTCAAATTGTTAAAAAAAATCGAAAATGATTATTTATAACTTTCGAAAAAAATTTAAATTTTATCGAAATACAGCGTAGTTTATATATATAACCTAATATTATAAGCCTCATCTGACAATTTAAAATATTCTGTCTTGATTGATACATAATCGATAACGATTAATAATGCTGAACAATAATTAATAGATAACGATTAATAATAATAAACATAATATTACAATTTTAATACGATAAAATGAACAAATGGCAGATTAGTTTCCTAATCTCTAAAATCATTAGAAGTTTTAACTTCTGTAATTAAGTCTTCAATCTTCACATAACTTCGTAACGGGACAAGATTTCGGTTCCAGTGGCATTGTTGCTATCGGACGTATCCGATTACGCGTATTTGACTATTCCGAGCATTATCATGCAGGTGAGTCACGTCTGCCGCAGTGGCTGCCAAGGCAAAACGTTTCTTCGAACCCCGTGACAATTTCTCAGCGAAAATCCAGCCTATCGATAATATCAACATTGGTAATAGATAATCGCGTGAGCACGTGCCGTGATAGTGCTGCGCGGTGCACATGTGCGTCTCGGAATATGCGTGCGCAAGTGGCACGCACTACGCCTAATCTTTTGTGCGATGGACATACGAGGGAAGCTGCAGAGAAGATCCGGGAACGACAAGGCGAGATAAGGATAGGGAAGAGAGAGAGAGAGAGAGAGATATGACGACGAAAAATAAGATAGAGCAGAATCAGCGTGGCGAACATCTGCGTGTCGCCGGACACGTCTCGCGGCTAATAAATCGCCACTTATCGATCGCCCGCGCCGTTTGTCGTTACGCAATAAGATGCATTAGCATAAGACCGTCGAGATATCTATCCAATGGTGCAGATATTTTTTTCGCGTCTCCGCCGGCTCGCTGGCTGCCTCATCGCAATCGCATGAGCGGTGGCAAATCCCTTCTTCGAAAGCGGTTTTTTGCGGTTGTAACAAAAAAGAATATAAATGATATATAGCGAAAAAGAATATATGAATACAAAATATATTAATCACTCAACTTACGTAAAAAAATAATTGGTTCTTTCATTTTTATATGGTTTTATAAAGAACGTTTTGAAGTATCGTATAAAACACTATTCTATAAATAAATTGCTTGCAATAAATTATTTTTGTATGAAATTATATCACTTCTTATGTTTATTATAATATTTCTTTATTTCTAATAATACTATTTATTATTTCCTATCTTTAAACTTTAATGTCTCTCGTATAAATATAATACAATTATACTTCTTTTATATTTTTCGTATTTCTTTAATGTGTAAATTTGTCAAAATGTGTATCGAGAGCATATTTAACGAAAACAGAGAAAACTGTTGCGCGTCATCCACGTGCTGAGTAGCGAGCTGGGCCAAAGTGCAAGACGCAATTACGGTACTCACGCCGTCTTTATCACGTCCCGTGAATCATTTGATCGTTATTGTCTTACGACGTTACGCACGCTATTGAGGTTTTCAGGTCCTTCTTTCAGTGTCTTTTCCTGCTG